GCGGCGACGGCGACGGCGGAGACGGGAAGGGGGTTGATTTTCGTTCGGGGATGTGGTAACGTACAGACCGGGTGCAGAAATCGTGTGGGTTTCTATCCCCGCGGGCTATATCCCCGGAATCAGCTGCCAGATTATTCTATTACCGCGTATCAACATGGGGTTTGTTTGATCTGAAAACACGGGCCCGCCACATTGTTTCACCCAGATAAAGAATTTAACGTCGGGTAATTAAAAGGACTTGCCTCCCCCATCTCCTTCTCCTCCTTCCTCCCGGAGACCACCGGAACGACGACGAGCCCGAAGACACGAATAACCCGCGCGTTTAACGATCCTTCCTTCCGCGCGCGAAGACTCTGCGAGTCGGTCTCTCCGGTGGCTTGTCATGTGCAAATCTCTCCTGGGAACGTTTCGCATACGCGAACCTTGACTATGCATCGCGCGAATATTTGCGTAATTAGCTCGTGCACAATCGAATCTTCCCTCTACCTGTTCCTCGAAAACTCGATTAATGGAGGGAAAACGTACTAAAGAAAAAATTGATTAAATTAAAGTGGTTTTGAAGATACGCATCTAAGAAAAAATTACAAAAACAAGGCAGACAACCACAGGCATTGATGTGCGATGCAAATGTTGAAAATGTGAAAAAATTAACTAACATATTAAAATATCAAAAACGTAACGTACTAAAAGAATCATATTTCTCGGAGTATCTTTCGGGTCAAGTGACGTAAAAAGACAGGAATATATAAAAATGCCTCAGAGATTCTCAAGTTATTTAAAGTCCTTTAAATTTATAACATGGAGATAAGAAGAGACTCGGATAATAGACTGTGATTGTGTTGTCTAACCGAGGAAAATGAGTTTCCCCATCTCTATAGGAATTTACTTACTAGAAAAGAGCGAATGCATGAATAAATATAATTCTTCCGGCAGAGGCTGCAAAATTATTATATTACAGAGCCGTATACCTGATCGCTCTTTTTAGCCTTATTGAAATGATGTACGCCACCGCCTTTATTACAGGACGGTTCAGGTCCCATAATGTGAATCGCGGATTACGAGCGGATCCCCGGCGGGATAAGAAAGCGACCATTGGATTAATGTCGCCGCGAAGCGTCAACGTCTCTCGCTTTTACGCGGATGATTAAATTCTATATCGAAAATGAATCGTTGAATTATTGACTAGTTTAGCGTGCGTTTTGTGTAACCGGCATTCGCCCTTGTTTAAGCAACGCTTTATTATATATTTAACCGCAACAAATTCATACTCGCCTCCCTTTTCCGCCGGCGATATTACGATAATTTAATTATTGTAATATTATCGAACTCTATCGCGACTGCGCATTAGTAATGACGTACAAATAATTCCGCCACTACGCGCCACGTACAATATGCGCGGCGTAGGGCAAAATAGCTTAATTCGTCCGCACCAGTGCGGCCTTTGTTATTTCCTCGAATAATATTACGGCTCGTTTGTAAATTCAATACGTCGACTTTTTAATTCCTCGCCGACTGTGTATCGAGTGCCATCGATCGCGGCCCGCGTATTTCCCGGCGCAATAATCGTCGCCGGACATGCCATTCGGCTCTCTTTCGGCTCGTACTTACATTTTTTCCTTGCGCAACGGATTTATCCTACCCCTCGATATATCTCGCCTCTTTGTAAAACAGCTATTAGTCCATAAATGCGCCTTTTTCCCTTTTCGAAACGATACGCGAATCTCCTCGCGCGATTGTTCAAGCTCTATAAATTGATGAAGATAATTTTTCACGAAAGGGAATTTGCACAGCCTCGTGAAAAATTGTCGTCCAATTTTAACGCAATGTTTCGTTAAAACGGGATTAAGGGAGAAACAATTTTTTATCCGGTTATTACGGGCTTTTCATTTTAGGCCATTCAATTCTAAAGAAATGTAAGCGGAATCGGTAATTGATCGATCGATCGATCTTTCGTCCGCTCTTTAAGAGATGATGGGAAATTTGTCATCTCGCGCGATGCCCATTCGCGCGGGTGTCGCGTCATGGGCATCGAGAGGCGGAAATTGTCAGCGGCAAAATTACGGGCGACGGTCGATTCATCGACGTCGAAACAATAACAATCGGCGTACGCCCGACGATGCGGTAATTAAAATAAAATTAATTGGATTGCCCGCGCGCGCACTCGCGGCCGAATCTTTCGAAGGAGATGACTGCACAGCCGTAGGGGTGTTTTGTGCGTTATTGCATATAATGCACTGTTTATTTTGTACTCTCTGTCTCTCTCTTTCTCTCTTCCCCACTCTCCGCTCATTTTCCCCGTTCCTCCTTTCGAAACGAGTATATATTATACACAAACATGTGGAACGTATGTGTGTACATGTTATATGGATACGGGCAATCCGCTTCCCCTCCCTTCGAGCCTCGGGACGATTCTCGCATCGCGCCTCCCAAAATTTGCGTCATAGCGCTTCTTGTAACAATTACCATCATCAGGTTGACAGCGAGGGAAATGTCAAACTTATCGAGAGAAACTTTAAAGATATAAATTATTTTTATCTCAATCGTATTTCTTTTTAATGAAACAACGGTAAGCATTTCTTAAATAACGACAGCGATAAATTTCCATGATAAATGTCTTTACGAGTTTTAGGGGACTTAAAGATTTCTCGAATCGCCAAAGTTTTCGGCGACTTTCGAGAGAGTTGTCGCGCGTAATAATCGATCACGATAATTCATTGATGTGTGTACTTTGGATAGGTTTAACCGCGGCGCGCAAGCAATCAATCCGTCTTCCCGAGTTTACTGTCTCTTCGTGAGCTTTTCATTAAATTTTCACCGAGAATTGTCCCGATCTTGGAGTCTCCTCGGGAAACTTCCGTCCGATGTAGCGGAGTCCTGGATGGCGAGGATCAGACTTCGATTCCAAACTTTGATTCTTGGACGTTGCTCAATGTCGGGATTCCCACGAGATGCGCTTCGAGAAGGACGGATCCGACGGAAAAGCTCCTTCGTCGGGTCTCTTGAGCAAAAAATCAGCGAGACGCGTTTCTACTAAACGTACACGCTTTAGTCCACGTTTATACTTTACGCGCGTTGTCATTTCATTAAAAACTTTACGCCGCGCTTTCGCATAAAACTGCATCGTTTGAACCGCCTCGGTAAAAAACACAAACTTGCAAATAACGCGAACAAAAGCCGCGGATATTAATTTTCGGACGGTGCCGCGTTCGCTGGGGAAAACAATGCTTTTCTTCAGTTTTTACAAGTTGTTAGCTGTTTTTTCGGCTAACGTGTGTAACAACGTCGGTTAAATAAGCGGCTATTGTCAGATAATGTCTCGAGCTCTGTCTTTTCAACGAAATTAAAAAACAGAGAACGTTACGCGTCGCGTGGAAAAGTAAAGCGAACCTTTATACGGCTTAAGAGCCGTAATGTGGAAATGATGTAAAAAATTATAAAATTAAAAAAAAGGAAAAATAATAAAAATAATATTTATAAAGTATTACATACATTTGTGTGATTCTAAATTTACATTTTTTACATCTATTACATGTGAGGCAAGATACTTGCTGCCAATTTTCTCATTACGATATTTTGGGGAAATCAATTTGTCGGCAGTAGTTTTTAAGATATTCAACTCTTTTTATACCTGTTGATTAAGACGCAAAATGTCCTAAAGACTAAGAATTTTTCATTTCGAGCAATATAATGACGTCAAAATTAAAATTATAAACTGCTGTCAACACCAAAACACGAAAATGTTTCCATCCAAATGACAATATTTAAATACACATTAACGTGTCTCATCGGAAACTATTCGTCAAAGCGCAAATTAGCGCTGCTTCAATTCTTTTCAATTTCTTTTATCGCATGAAATTGTTCACATCGCCAGAGAGAAAGCCGCGATACGTGCTCTTAAATAAATTTTTTGAATTTTTTCCGGGCCAGCGAAACTCTGGGTAATTTCGAGATGCAAAGCGAACTCAAACGAGACATTAACGTGAATTTTGCTCGTTCGTCTCGGCGGAAAAGCGCTGGCGCGATTGCGGAATCGACGGAATTGCGCCGACTTTGCGGCATTCGAAATACGATTTATTTGTTCGTCATCCGCGCGTGCACGCGCGGGGCTCCCAAATCCAATAATGATTTGAATACCGTGTACTCGGTACGGTTTCGCGTTATTTCGGTCGCGCGGGCCGCTCGGCTCGGTATCGCGCCCGTAATTTTATAAACACTTTGAAAATCTTGCGTCACCGACGGGCTTCGCGGCGCTCGAGATTGCCTCTGATCGCTCCTAGGGCTTCGTCTGCGCCGGCAGCAAAATAATTACAAAATCGTACGAACGAAACGAGATAAATCGAGGCTGCCCCTCCTCCCCCGTCCTTCGAGCCTGTATTTTTTCAGCTTCAGGAAGCCGACCGCGTTCTCGAGAGGCTGCGCTCTCTCTCTCTCTCAGACCTATACAAATTTGAGCCTATCATTTCCAAGTGTTCGCTCCCCTTCTCCTCACTTGGTGAATTCGGATCGCATCCGAGCGGATCTGGACCGAATAGGGTCCAGCATGGGATGTAATAGTTATCGCGTCCAGATTCTCAATCACCGCGCTTAATAATATTATCACGAACTCGTAATTGTATATATACGCTACAAATATATTTATTTTTCTTTCCTACTTTATATATTGGAATATAATTCCTTTTTTCTATATATTGGAAATTTTCTATATATTGCAGTAGAGCATATATGTATTCTGTGAATTTATCTCTATTTATGAATACATTTCCGTACGTATTTCTATTTAAATGTATGTATCCAGACGTTCAATTGTAATGACGTGTATAAAAGAATGCAAAGTTGACACATTCGCACGTCAGTTGTATCAAAATTGCGAAAACATGATATTTTATATTGACACGAAACTCTTTTCAATTACACAATGTTACAAAGCTGACGTATAAATTATGCCGTGAGATCATTCAGTCATTCGGTTTGCGTTTCAATCGTCATTCAGTTCGCGAAATATGGCCGAGCCAGAGGCCGAACCGAAGGCCGAACCAGAGGCCGAACCAGAGATTCAAATTAAGGAAGAACCGAGGGAATTTCCGGAGGAGGTTACGACAGACGCGACCGACACCGATGCAACGGAGGATGCAACAACGATCGAGACCGAGGACGCGATCAAATACAAAAGTACCGACTACGAGAGCATGGAACCGGACGTGATCAAGGAGGAAGAGAAGGAGAAATCTTGGCTAGAGAGATCCGTGGAAAAGGATTGGTCCGACAAGGGAGAACCTCTTTGGCAAGTTATAAAATCGTAAGGGATGCTTGTCTATTTTTTCTGCTCGCGAATTTCGCATCTCGCACGCATAGTCGATGAATTTGCACAAAGCATCGCGCAGATACGCAGAATCCAAGAGAAAAGACAAGCGGAGAATATTATCCGGGGCCGCCAAGTTGCCATGTCGCACGGAAGATGCTGTCGAGGAGGTACTACCGCCCTACGAGTGCTTCCCGCCCGCTGGCTTTCAGCTACAACCTCGAGCTGATCGAAGACCGATCGGATTGGATCGATGCAAAAGAACGCGAATCTGGAGAAGCATGAGAATGAGACAGGCGGTTAGTCAGCGAATACGGTAATGGCGTCGATTGCATTTATATTTTGCGCAAAAATAATCTTTTTCTTCGCTCTTTGCGTAACTGAAGCTTCAATCAAACTCGCGAGATTCGGTAATCAATATTGATCGAAAAATATAAATATATTCATTTGCATCTCTAAAGATGAATTCTACGTCCGCGCATCAAATGATACTGGTGATATAAATTCGCGATATCTTCTCGACAGACAAAGGTATTTCGAAGGAGAGGAAAAACATCGAGAACCGGAAGTGAGAAATGGCCGGGTGTGTGGCCGTGCGTTCCGCGAGATGAGCTAAAGACGCGAGAGAAGGAAGGGCGAAAGAGGCGAAGGGACATTTTCCCTTGCGATCCGCGACACGACGTCGACGAAGACGACTTCCTCCTGCGCGAGCAGAGGAGCGATTTCGCGAATCGCAAAGAACTGGGACACGCTCGCGCGCGGGTGCAATGTCCGGATCCTAAGCTGGAATTATTGGTGGATCGCGCGGTCGGCGAACGTCCCGGTTTGGTGGACGGCGATTACGTCATCGTAGAATTTGACGCGCCCGAGGGACAGGACAGACGTGTCTACGCCAACGTGGTTCTTCGGGGGTTAAAGGGCATGCATCTACCGGAACTGAGCCCATTGAGAGAGCGCAGGAACACTTGGAAGTTTTGCTTCTATCAAGCGATCGTGGCGTTATTGGCGAGAACTCAGCTCAGGTATCCAACTTGGATGATTCAAGTCTGATTGTCTAATTAAAAAGAGAGAGAAAGAGAGAGGGAGGGTGAATAAAAAATGCATCCGATGCATTTTAGCAAATTTGATCGTTAATTTATTTTTAAATATCTTTCGGGGATTTGAGAATTGGAGATATATTCTATCTCCGCACTGAAAAAAGAATTTAGTAGTAAACACTAGAATTTAATAACAATTACTAAATAATTTGGGCAAATAGTTCTAATTAAATGTGTGGTAACAGTTACAAAAAAAATTAATTGAGTAAATAAAATATTTAGTTTAGACTACTTAAATTTAATTCATTCAATTACAAATTTGATTGGTTTAACAAAGCTTTAATAACTGTAACCAAATTTTTGTAGCAAAAAATAATATATTTAATAAGTATTATCAGATATTTGATAATTTTAACTAAATCATGATAACGAGAAATTAAAAAATTAAAATTAAAATTAATTAAAATCAAATTTTTTAATTATTATTTTTTTATTTATAATTTATACTTGCATATTGCATTTTACATTTTAAATAGAAAATTTACAGATTATTTTTGTTTATTTGCCGAACATTTACTTATCCGACTTATAAAATCAATTTAATATCTGAAACTCTTATATTGAGAAATCAGAAATTTAATTGAACAATATATTTTTAATCTTATTTGTTACTCTTTGCAAGCTTTATTTAATTCTCATAACTAAACTTAAATACGAGAAAGATAACGCATTTCACGTCGCATAGCGATGAACGAACAAACTAACATATCCTTGCGTGCTTGCGCGAAACTTTACACGACTATCTTACCAAAATTTGTTAATAATTACCAATTATTTTATCAAACATGTTGACCTAACTAAATCATTTAATAATAGTTATCAAATATCTAATAATCTTAAATTGAATGATTTAGTAATATTTACAACAATTTAATACATATTCAATAACAATCATCAAAGATTTTATGATAAGTATTAAATATTTAATAATTATTACTAAATTGTTTAATTGATTCAACTGCAAACAAAAGTTTGTTTGCAACTAGACCAATTGAAGATTTAGTAATTATTATAAAATATGGTAATATTTATCAAATATTCAATTAAAATTCACAACTAAATATATTTGATAATTATTACCAATCAGTTTTTTCAGTGCGTGAGAGTTAGAATCTAGTCAGAGCTGTCGGCTTTTTTCACAAGCAACACTGACTCGCTTTACGTTATCTTTGTACGGAAGATACAAATACGCGTGGAGCGCCAATATCGATTACATCTACGACCACGCCTGGACACTTTACACTCACATCGGCACGATTAACGTAAGGAAGAAGCAGCGTTTGGACGACGTTGTCGTGTACAACTACAAGTATGACGTCGAGATAGAGCTGATTCGGGAAACGAAGGATATAGCCGTAGTGCGAAACGTCGATTTCAACTACCAAGAGAGCGATTTAAAAAGACAGATCACGTTACGCAGAAAGGATCCCTTGGAGGTCAGGGTGGAACTCGGCTGTCAAAAGATAACGAATCTGGAACGCGTACCTGTGCACGAAGGAACACGCAGGATCGAGGAGTGGTTCGATAAGCTGGCGATGCGATATCGCGACTGCATCTTCCGCACGACCAGATTCTCGTTGGCCTTCTGGCAAGATGGCCTCTTCTGGTACCTCTACAATCCTTATCGATGCGACGAGTTTGGCTGCTGGGACGATGACGGTCGCGCCTGCATCGTAAAATTTTGCTCCAAGGACTCGCTACGGAGGCACCTGATGATACTCTTGTTGCGGGCCTACGCCTACGAGATTCCAAAGTCGCGCGATCCAAATCGACCTGAGATCGCGAACGATGACGTTTTCGATGTTCAAATTTTCCACGTGACCTTTCACTGCTGTCAACTGCACAATCTCAAGCTAATGCAACGCGGCGCGCCTGAATCGTCGAGACAACGCGCCGACGAACGATCGGATTCCCTTCTCGAAATCGAAGATGCGACCGATCAAGGGGAAGACGACGAGGACGATCCGGGGGAGCCAAGGGAGAGAGTCACGTGGTTGAAGTGCCGTCGAGTCACCTGGGGAAGGTGTGAGTCCACGAAACAAAAGAGTCGCGCCAAGATCAGCGGTGACAGGGTAACGAGATGGCATCAGTACTACGTGGAGAAGCCCAGCAAGCTCTTCTCCCTGTGGGGCGAGATACACATAACCGATCGCATGTTCGACGAGGCGAACCGGGGCATGCAGACGTACGCCTGTTACGTGGTGTGCGCTGGCATGACTAGAATCATGGCGCCGGAATATTGGAGCTCAAAGATCCTCGACGCGATCGTCGTATGCGGCGATCGCTATTATACCCGGAGCAAGCACGAGGCCGAGCTGAAGTCCGTCAAGACCGAATACGTTCACGTGAGCTGCTGGAGCAGGTATCTATGCGATCGCTTCGAGATTGGCGAGACCCTGTTTGAGGCCAGGATGCTACCGGCCATTTGCGGCAGACTGTACGCCAGGTCGCGCGAATGTCTACGAGGGACGCTGGAACGATTGTTCTACGATCATCATTTTGGCATCCTGACTTGCGAGAGCGCCTGTCTGGGCATCTTCAAGTTTTGCGGCGCGTATTACATGTGCGACGTCAACTCACTTGGCCCGCCGCTCTTTTCGTACGGCCATGGTGCCGCTTATCTAATGAGAGCCACATCCCTTGGCGAATTTGTGGCGGTGCTGGTGTTGACCATCGCCTCGCCCGAACGTAGCCGATTCACTCTAAATCCTATAGAGATCCTTCGAATTGCCGAGATTGGCCCTGCTTGCGATTCTCGCGCAAGGGTGGGTGAGAGAAGAAAGCGCCTTGGGAGATTCGCCGGAAAGATGCGTGCATTCGACGAACGAAAGAAGGGAAGAGTAAAAATGTAAAAGTGCGGAAAAGCTGAAATGATGATGCATACAATAAGAGATCTGACTGAAGAAGAGATTGCAAGCGTAAAATAAAATGTAAAATAAAAAATTGTAAAGGAAGAGTATTTTTTTATAAATACATATGGGCGTAAAACAATTTCTTTGTTACTTTGATTGATTGTATACTTTACATACGGAGAATATCAAGCGGAAATTTCGACGCAACCATTTTGAAATTCCTAAACGATCGACGGGTTTTAATATTTATGCGCAGAGGAATCGAAGCTACGTGTAAACATTTATATAAACGAGAATGTATTTTCCACAACAGTGGCGCGATTTTAATAAGAAAACATTGTTGTAAAACTGCGAGTTAGGCGCTAGAGCACGATAGTGTCGCGAAATTAAAACTTTTCGCGATCTGAACACCTCGCTGCGTGCTTATGTAAAAGAGAATCTCTGATAAAGGTGTTGCATTGAAGCAAAATTGCAATTTTCCAGATAAAATCTTTTTGGACAAAAAAACCTTTACAGATAAAAGATCAATGAGAAAGATGAATTATTAAATTTAAAATATGTCGATACGGAAGAAAAATAAATTCAACTTAATACAATTCAATTTAATTAAATTAAGGTAAATTTATTTTACTTTCATTAATTGAGTTGATTTAGTTAAACCAAGAAATAAAGGTACATTTAAATCGCGAGATAGCAATTAAATACTCGCGCGGGATAAAAGTCGAACATTGTGCGAAATTGACTTTGCAAATTAATTCTTATACGTATTTCATCGTTATAAAGTCAAATCGTTAACATATTCAGAATTGAGGCAAAAAGAAACATGCGGCGATAAATTAATTTGCAAAACCTCCGAATGTATATATAATGTCGGCTAGGATATGTATATGCAACGATATGTGCGGGATATATTCCTGTGGATACCGAAATTGTTATTAATGAACTGTCATTATATATTCAATAGAATAATTTTTTTTTAAATAAAAGAAAAAGAAGAGAAAGAGAGAGAGAGAGAGAATGTACCTTTTGATGGAGAGAGATGCGTCCACGCAAAAGGAAATCAAACGTCACGTCTCTTGCTCCGACGCAATAATTTATTTCGGTATCGTACACATCCATCGTTACTCATATTTACAGTGATATTTACAGCGCAATTACGTATATACATGGCGGCTGTTGTTGATAGAAGCGCGGAAGCGCCGGGTCATTGTTTTCAATTTCCTCGAGCCATCGATGACCGAAATTTGCCTGGCCTCGTCCTCGGGATCGCACTACGCTACCTCGAGATCGGAGCTGTCCGTGTCTTGCTCGAGCTTCTGTTGTTGCTGCCTGCTCAGGCTCAAACGATCGCCCACCATCACCGTCGCCGCGGCACCGCCGTCGTCGGTGCGTTGACGCTGCTCCAGCTGCAGCTTCCGCAGACGGTCCTGCTCCTCTCGCTTCTGCTTCCGCCACTTGGCGCGACGATTTTTGAACCACACCTGAAACGAGCACGATTCGACGGGGCGTTCAAATTAGACGGAAATTTGTGCGAATTAATCCCTTATACATATTCGGTAGCGCAAAGTTGAACAATTTTTTCCAAGAGAGAGGGAGAGAGATGATGTGAAAAATATAGTGTAAAAAAATATAGAGTTTGTCGTGTTTTTTTTCCAAACCATTTTTACATTGTTATTTTTTACACTGATCAAAAACTGAAAGCTTACATTTATAGATAAGAAAATCATGTTGCTCGAGAGCAATGTAATCAAATGAAGAATTAAATAGAGTTTATTTTTTATCCGCAGACGGGAGCGAAATGTAATTCACAAATTAATAACTGAAATCATAATAGTCATGATAAACTATAAAAGAAATGAAAAGTTACGTGCACAATATAAATAAATTGCACAAGTAATTTAATCATATAGTTTTTAAAAGTAATGAACTAATGCCATCAATTTTGACGTATCAATTACGAATTAAAACGATTATTTGCAAGATCAATAAATGACAATAGAATTTTTGATAAATGTAGAAATTTTTTCAAACTCGTGATTGCAAGATAAATCACACGCACACGCGAGTATTAGAGATATTTGTCTAATGAAGTAAGGAAAGACGCGAGATGTACATCAAACGAATTCCCGCCGCACTCGGAACACGCATTTGTCCCTCACGCCTGTCTGAATCAATTCGAATGAAAACCGACAATCAATATTCCACCCCTACTCGCTCGCTCGTTTTGCTGCATTAGCTATTGTAATAGCCCGACCCTCGTTCATTTTAAAGAGTTTTTCGCCAATCGAGATCGCTGTATCTCGCAAACTTTCCGCATGACGTAAAATTGTGTCATTTCACGCAGATCCTCGAAATGTTCCGTGTAAACTTGTCAACGGCAATTTTAACAGTAACATTAATATTCACAGAAATGCGACTCTAATTAATCCATCGTCCATCTTTACATGTCCGATCTGTTGTCGAATAAAATACGGTCGACGGGCACCGATAGTTTTCGAGACGTTGTTTCCCTACATCTACCTTCGGATCCAACATCGGAATCGACACGATCTCGAAAGTACACAAAACAGTTCCTTGGGTTTCTGACCCGTTCCTAGTTTTTTCTTTGTCCTCTTCAGTGCACCCTCTCTCCCCCTGCTTTCCCTTCCCCGGTTCTACTACCGCGGACGCGGTACAAGAGTCGCTATTTTACTAATTCTGTGCAAACACCGTGACCTCTCTCGCACCGAGAATCGGCCCAGGCGCAGGTATATGTTGTTCCAGCCTTTAAACACTCTTGAGATTCGAGGGACCTTCTCTTTGGCAGAGCCGACGCGACGCGGGTGGTCCCACGCGCGAGTGTGTCAATGATTCTCACGTAGAGTCCGTGATTATTCGACGGAATCATCGCCGGGGTTTCCGTCAGGTGTCGGACAACGACGGGCTACTATACGACATTGCTCGTAACTCGTAATCCCCGTATTTAATTCTTCGCTCCCGCACATCTTATTAAATAACGTGTTCTTGAAAATTGCAATAAATCAATAATAGATTTCAAAATAACTAAACGCAAAATTCGATCAGGTACTTTGGTGATTTCAGCGCGAGATCATTAACATTAATTTGCAAATTGGTCGAGAGAGAAGCTCTTTGTAGAATCCGAAAGCACTATCTAAGCAACTCGAACGAAACGAATGTTAAAAAAAGATGCAGCTTTTTAATTACTCTTTGCGTATGTAATGTAAAAATCACAGAGATTACAATGTGACGCTTATCACGACAGGTTGTGAAGCGAGATCGTTAATTACTGAAAAAATAACACTCATTGGGCGACACAATGAACCGCGCGATTTTTTATTGAAAGGCAAATTTATACGAAATTAAACGCGCGACGCGCGCTCTCTCTCTCTCTCTCTCTCTCTGTCTCTTTCTCTCTCCCATTAGCTCGTGAAAAGTATACACCACATTTTATAGAGATTATAAATTGCGCTATCCGACACGCGTGTGCGTGCACGCACTCAGTGCCGGCGAAAGCGAACTCGATCGTATGTATAATTGAAGTAAACACATTATCGCTAAAGCTTTTAATCTAGCATGCAACTTGTTAGCTCAAGTCGACCGAGTGCCCCGATAAATACCCAGCGCGGTAAATTTTAATGGCCGCGTTAAAATATTATGGGCTTTTATGCATTAGGACGACAAACACGGACCGTTCTATCCCACTCAGGAACGGCGGCGGCGGCGGCGGCGCGCGAGCGCGTACAGTTTGCCGACATTACGTTACAAATTGTGCGTGCGGGCCCATCCGGACGGTCAATGTTTGTCAATCCGAAACCCAATATTCCGTTCACGGCTCGAGAAAGTAATTTGTCATCCGGGGGTGGCTCAAGACCGGCTGCCGCGCAACGTCAACCTGGCCGCACGGTGAGAAAAACGGTAGTCGGCCCTCTTGTTTTCGGAAAGCGAATACAAGTTTGAGAAATATTGTCTCGACACACTTCTCGTTTTTCTCTACCGATATTCTAATTTTCCAATTTCTCCCTATATTTAATCCCTAATCGATTAATTATTTAAACAAGTTTACATCTCAACCATAATTCTAACGAAACTTCATTTTTTTAATTATATTTCGAGAATTTCCAATTGGATTTATACATTTATTTTAGTTGAAAAATTGAGATTTCATTACTTTCGACAAGTCGCGATCGTTATCGACTTCGAGTCAAACAAATCTGTGATTAAAGTGAAAAAAAAAATATAGGAAACATCGTGTATAATAAAATGTAAAATTATTAGTGAGAAATTTGACCAACCTCAATTCTTTCCTCCTTGAGGTCGACCTGGAGGGCCAGCTGTTCGCGCAGGAGCACGTCGGGATAATGCGTCTTGTCGAAGGTGGCCTCCAATTGTTCCAATTGTTCCTCCGTGAATATCGTTCGATGGCGACGTTTTCGCTTCGCCATCGGGCCCATTCCCGGATTATTCGGATTTATTTGATAAGGATGGCCGGCGTGATAGAAGGCCGGCTGTCCGTGGAGGGAAACGCCGGCGGCGGCCATCGCCGCGACGTATCCTCCAGGATACAATCCTGGATATGCCGCGGCTGAAATTGAAAAAAATGCGACGGAAGGATAATAAAATTCGCATTTGCCATAAAACTCACGACATCGTAACGTAATCCACTCGTGCGCATGCGACGCATGAATGATAAAGATTATCCGCGGTCGCACAACGCCATTTCAACTTTGCGTCGCATTAAAGATTCAAACGTCCATTCTCGTTCGCGATTATAACATTAGGGGAGAATCGATTGTAACGAGGGATAACAATCGCGATAATTCGGGCCACAAATTAATGCAGCGGGACAAAAGGATCGCGATCCTTCGCGGTCTATTTGCAACGAGCGCCCCGATGACATTTTCTCGAATCGAAGATGAAGAAATTGCACGACGAGGTCGAACGAATTCCGCTGTTGGACGTGCGATGTTACAATTCGTAGAGCGACCCCCATTCATTCGTGTTTAGGGATAAAAAGGTCGCCGAGAGCGCCCGCCAAGAGCGTCCCGGGGGACGTTTTACTTTAAAATCTCGAAGAAAGCTGCTTAAACGCGACGTTGCGCATGAAAATGTGGGGACGGTAAAAATTTCTGCTTTTACTTGCAACGCGTTTTCACTCACTTTCTCTCTCCTTCTTTCTCTTTCTCGCGTCTGCGTGCCTTCTCTTCGCGTTCTTCCAGCGGAATTGCACAAGGAGCTAGATCGTTCATGCATGATCGAAACGGATTGCGGATTTCATCTCGCAATATCCTCGATGCAAAAGAGAGAAAGCGCTGGGTTTCCTTGAGGGAAAAATACTTAAAGCCCCCACAGGCGTATAAAGGAAGTTTTGACGCGTTTCGCACCGAGTCTCTTGGGATTTCACGTAGGGTCTTCCATTTTCGCAATGTAAATTGTTAAATGTCTCCCTATCGAACAAAATACGTTTAACAACACCTACAGCAAATTGATGGAATCTGTACAAGGTGATTTCATATTGTGAAAGCGATATAATTGATAACTCGTGAAGAGCAATAAAAGACGATGATGATGAAGAGAAAAACTTTGAATAATTTTAAAAAGATGAAAATATATTTGATATGAATAAACATGTGTAAAATTCTTTAATCATGGTAAAATTAAGTCAAATGTAAGCGTCCGAGATGACAATCTCATCATTGGTATATATCGTGAGAATTATTTATACATACGCATTGTTTTGATTTGAAAATTGTTCTTTTTTTTAGAATTCTAATTTTTTTCAAGTTTAAAATTAATTAAAATTTCTAAATTAAAAAAATGATTTATCAATCTACTTACGAAATCCATAGAAATTAGTTTCTTTCGTCGAAATTTCCATAAATGTTTATTAAGTGTATTGCAAAAAAATTTGATAAAAATTTCATATTGTTTGATGAAAATACAATTAATTGCAAACAATTTTAAACACTTATGCAAACATATTATTTCTACCGCTTGCTCAACTTTATCCTGAGAATTCGGTTTACGCAAGAATTTAATAAAATTTCAACAATTTAATATCACGAATAATACGAATCTACATTTATCGCAGTCTTCATCTAAAATATGTAAAAAAATGTTTAGAGTTCAAATGACGTTAATCATAATTTCATGCACGCGTAAAGGGGAACCAGACGCGCGAGAAGTCTCGAGAGAGACGTCTCGTAAAAGCTGCCTGAAAGAAGTCTAGGGGATTAGAAGGTCTCTTAAGCGTCTTCGCGGCCTCTTTCAGCTCTCGGCACGCTCGAAGGACCGAAAGGAGTCACCCCGGGAGGGCATCTTCGGGGAGCGGGGCCCATTACCCACCGAGAAAATCCGCCGAGGTGAACGCCAAGTGATGCAGCTGCTGCTGCAGCGGATGCATCGCCGTGGTGCGACTGCCGGCCGACTCGATCGTTTCCGGCGTCTGGATCGCGGACGCGGCGACGGTGGTGGTGCTCGTGGGGGCGATAACGTTGCCGATCGGCCTCGGCGCCAGGATGCTGTCGATGGTGAAGAGCGACGTGGGGGACGACATGGTGGCGGAGGAGCCGCCCGGTCGCGAGGGGACCGACTCGCGTGGGTTCCGGTGGCGAGGAACGCCATCCCCCGCGGTACCGATCGGACTCCTGGCGAACGTCCTTTCGTCTCGCGCGGCGTCGGTCGTCTCGCTCGCGTTGTTGCGCCTCGTCGTCGCCGCGACGTGATTCTGACTACTCGCCTCGGGCGAGTAGCTGTACAGATAGCTGTTGTGGTGGCCGTAGCCGGATATACCGGGACCATCGTGCAGCGGACTCGACGGCTCCGTCATGGGCGAGCGTGATCTCGGCGAGTCGCTCGCATAAGTGCTCTCTACCATGATACCAGGCTCGTGTACGATTATATCGAGTGTTATATCGACGCGCTTAGCGAGGCTGGATCGAACTAGATATCAGTGTCCTAGGCTCCAGATAGATGCGCGGGAGACGAGCAGAAGGGTGCTCCGTTCTACCCTTCTCCTTTCGGCAACGTTACGTTTTCGCTCGCATTATGTCAGACAAAATTTCCTACGACTTTTCGAGTTCGACACCTAGCGAATTCCCGGTTAGCGTCTGGCTTCTATTTTTTTTTTTTTTTTAGATAAGAGTGAGACGCGTCTGCGCGATCTCGTCGAAGCTCCTCCCTCGTTGACGATCGTTGATCGACGTCCCGTCGGCGCTCAACATCGGAGACGACAGTCGCGAGGAAGGAAGGAACGATCCGATATCCGGAGATGCTCGGTTCCTTGCTGGCCGCACTTTATTCCACTTCCTCGCGGTCGTTCTTAAGCCGTCGAAGGGCGCCGTGGCGTCGTGATCCGATCGCGCCTAGCGTCGCGGGCACAAAGTGACATCTCCCCGATAAAGGATATCCGTGGACTAGCCATAGTGGTGGCCGACGACGCGGTGGTGCCGCGTGGACGCGCTTCCTTCCTGCCCTTCCCGGTCCTCGTCGCGCACAACCGACAAAGCCACCCCCGTAGCCCGGAGCCGCGCCAGCCGCGTCGGTGGCGGACAGAGAAACACCCTCGGCTGCCGCGTCGGGTTGGCGTGCGTTGTCCGCGATCGGGGCGTGGCTCTTTCTGGCTCCATCCACTTTTCCACCACCCGGTCGCGCGGCAGTAACCCCGTTTCTCCCCTTGGAGCGCGAACGAAACGCCGAGCGCGCGAGAGGGCGAGAGAGGATCGACGATGACGACGACGACGACGGCAACGACGACGACGAGGATCGCGTCGCGACGTTCAGGGGTGGGATGCTGCACCGCGACAACAGACATGCGAAGCAACGGGAGAGGGTGGTCGCGAAATAACTGTCTGAGGGAGAAAGAGGAGAGAGAGAGAGATGGAAATAGGGCCGCGGAAGCAAACGACATATTTGCCGATGCATATTACCGAATCTCTCACCCTCTCTCTCTCTCTCCCCGTCGCTTAAACACACGATCGAATAGAGGAGCTTATATTTTCAAACCGTCTTAAATTTATGCTTTTCAAAAATCAGAGATATGCGTTAGATGGCTTCATAATTTCCATTAAAGAAAAATGATGCGCATTTAAAATGAGGAAAGAAGCTCTTCAATTTTATTCTCCGATTCTAGGTATCGACTCGGTGTTGTATCAATTACCGTTTATTATTTGCTTGATAAATTATTAAAAAAAAATAGACAAATCTGTCTCGGATTAATTCCATTCTCCAAATTCCAAAATTGGATCTTTGTTTTGCCGCAATGTTTTCAGCGTATTAATATGATTTCATAGAAATGAAATACGGTTTAAACAAGGATCTCGTACATTCTCCAATTGTCTTTGTTTTTAGGAAAATAATCTTGTTCGTTATTCCACGAAACAAATGTCGCACATAGAGTGTTTCGCCACTCGTGTAATTTCACTAAACTCGTTAATGCTTTTCTATCAATTACTATTTTAATGTAATATCCATTATCCTTCTTTACGCAGCTTTGACTATGACATTAACAAATGTCGCATTGATTTGTAATCTTGAATTATGGAATCGATTTGTCGATGTTACGGGATCAAACAACGAGCGCAAACACCAATCCGGACGCGATGAACCCCACGCGGAAGCTCAGGCGTCGATAGATCTGGATTATGGCGGTTGCGCGCGGCCAGAGAGAGAGAGAGAGAGAGAGGGAGAGGGAGATCTCTCTCCTCCTCTTCCCGTGAGAGAACCATATCTACCTACCTACCTAGCGAATCCGCGCGGATCTGTTCAATTATTCAAATCCCGGCCAATGCGTCCGTATTAATAACATAAAACCGTTGTAATGTGCATTGACTGTCGTCCTCGCGTCTTTGCCCCTCGAGAAGGAGCAAAGGGAAAGAGAGAGAGAGAGGAGGGGGACACAGAATCGTGACGCGATACACGGAGATCGAGCGTGAAAAAGGTTTTCTCTCTCTCGTTAGGGTGCGTACCTCGACATTGTAAGTGGTCTCCCCGAGTTCGTCACGTTTTCTACCCCCTCCGGTCCCCTCGCGACGGGTCCCACCTCCCTGCCGAGGTACGTCCCCCTGCGGTCCATTCGGGCGCAGCGAGATCCACGCCGGGCTTAATCCTAATCCGTACGTTAATCGTACGCCCGATCCGGCGAACCGGATCCCGCATTCTGTGCGATCCGTACGCGTATTATGCCTGCCCATCTCTGCCTATGCCTACTTATCTACCTACTGGTTTTAGGCCGTTGTCAGAAGCAGAAGACGTTGGCAGCGCGCGCGCGCGCACGCGAGAGATTCCGCGAGGAAATCTCGAGGAGGGAAGGGCATCGGCCCTTCCTTTCTCGCAGCTCCGGAATGGCCATTGTATTCGCGTATGTCGTGAATTTGATTAGCCAGACGACACCGAGAACCGGCCATCGCTAATATATCTCTTGATCTGCTGATGCTCTCTTTGCGATTTTCAGACGCGAGCAAATTATTGCCCGGGACGAGAAATGATAAACGGAATGAAACGAGTTTATTTTGAAATCGATGCCTCGAAATGTTATGAATTATGAATGAGATACGCTTTCTCGAAAAAGAGAAGAGGTAAACCAAGTTAAATAAGTTTACTCTCGAACAGAGCGCGCGCAGCGAAACCCATACAGCACAGAAGCTTGCATCAACATTGCTTACTGCAGTGTAATACTGCAGAAATAATGCAGAGACATTATTTTATAATATTACTTTGGCAATGTTATAGCAACGTTTTAACATAGCAAAAGTGTATAACATGTGTTTTTTTACTTGTCGCTACGCGACGACACCAAATTTAATTAACTCGTGTTCGAATTCATCTAAGAATATAAGGTCTACAAAGGATTAATGTAATAATTATATTTCTTGTCTTGTGTCAGTTTAATTTCTGATAAACTGATTTGGTTTATTTAATATTCTGAATCCTAATGAGCAATTTAGATTATTAAACAAATAATTTGTTTAATAATCTGGATCCCTCATTGGGTTTCAGAATATTAAACAGATTTTTCTCAATTGAATGGGTAAATAGGAAATATAATTTATATTCATTTATTGCACGTATTAAAATATTTTGGTGTCGAGTGTATGTAAAATAATTGTATGTACATTATTGAGATAAATATTCAAGAAACATCTAATAAAAAACACTAATAGATGTTTTTTTAAAGGCATTTTTTCCTATCTTTCTTAAACATTTTTTTATATTGTCAAAGTTTATTTCTTAAATTTAAAACGGTGTTTGCATTTGTAGCAAAACGCGTTTTAATATTACAAATACGTTGCACCATAACATTACTACAATCTTGCATTGCGATATTCCTAAAAGCGGACATTTTAACGTTGCTGCAATCCCACAACCATGGTGCAGCAACATTTTGCAGTGAATTTGCAACGTTGCAATATTGCGGTAAAAGATTGCTCCAATGTGTATGCAATCTTTGTGCGCTGTATGGGAAGTCACGCTGTTTTGAATACATAAAATGAGTTTCGATCGAGAGAGCGCACGAATATAAACTGTAAAATAAAAATATTGTATCTCGCGATATCGCGTTTTGCACGAATTTTTCGTTGGCGCAAAATCCCTCTCTCATTCCCGCCGATTCTCTCTCTCTCTCTTTCTCTCGCTCTCGACGGGGCGGCTTCTTCGTAAAAGATTACAATTTCCCCGGCGATCACGGGGGGATGAATCCTCGGCGCTAATGCAGCGACAATACAGATGTTTTCGCGTCTAAGCGGCGTGCTAAGTGGATCTCGCCCCTTCGCTCTCTCTCTCTCTCTCTCTCTCTCTCTCTCTCTCTCTCTCTCTCTCTCTCTCTCTCTCTCTCTCTCTCTCTCTCTCCCACTTTTTTCTCCAATAAAGACGAGAGAATGCGCTGAGAAAAAGCACCCGCCCGCATCGATATTCTTAAAGGCGTACCGCGGGGTGTCGAGACCCGATACCTGGTCTTCCAGCTCTCCCGAGATCTCCCGACATCTCGCCGGACTCGTTAGTGTCGGTTACACTTGACTGCGTGCCTTCCTGCCTTCCTGCGGACCGGCCGAATTGATAATTGAAAGAGAGTGGATGCACACGCATTCTCTCTCTTCCTTGCTTTCTTGGTCGTGAGCTTGTTGTTGAAACATTCAAATGCGTAGCTTCACCGAGAAGGAACCATGACCGGAGAACTTTGCAGGACGTCCCTTGTCGATAGGTTTGGCGGGACGAATAGCGTGACGTTGTTGAATTCGCATTGATCGATGCCCGCTGAGCGGTTCTCCCGAAATTTCACGCTTGTTTAACACTTGATTTCTAAAAGAGGAAAAGAAAAGGAGGAAGAGAAAGCATTCAAATAAGCTGCTAAGTTATCAGCTGTTAAACGTCAAATTCAATTCTCAATTGACAGAAACATTCCAAATCATTATGAAATTTAATTTGTAAATAGAATGTTGTGAGTGACGAAAAAAATGTTATGCATTAGATGTTATCTGAATACCATGCGATTAATTCCTTGAAATAATACGTGGAATAATACAATTTCAAAAATTGTAATTTGTAATTTGTAATTTTGAAATGCATCTGTACGAGAGATAAGTACAGCTCGGAATATTTTTTGCCAGTGATGTCTATTTAATGCTTTGTTAGTTTATAAATTAAAGGGAAAACGGCAGAAAGGATACGTGCGTGATGTAAAAAGATTATACTAATAAACTGATTATGTATACATGAATACACGTATAAGAGGATTCCGAGGTCTATACTTTGCGTGAATTATAGTCGCACGCTGTGTATGAATATTTCGCAAAATTAATATTATCACGCTTCATCACATTCCTGCGGCTCGTAATGCAAAGCGCAAATATTGTCCCTTCATTGCATGTTTCAAAGGATGCCGAATTTCAAAGGATGAAAAGAAAGACGAAGGGGAGAAGAGAGAGGGATAGAACGAGTATATATATATATATATATATATATATATATATATCTTAATATATCCGACCCAACTCCGTCGCGTTGTTCATGAGTTGCATAAGGATTAGCGTAGTCGATTATAGTTCTTGGTAAATATTTGCCTTTTTCGGATCCACATGGGCAGACCGATGGCTTTTTCTCTTCTCTCTCTCTCTCTCGTAAAGGGTTCTCGGCCGTTCATAAAATCATGATAGCCGAGAATCGAAAATGCGCGACGTCCTGAAGATCATTTAGTAAATGCGACAGTCAACTTGAATATTTAAAAGAATGCAAATCGCGATTCGAAGGACGCGAAATCGGTAGGATAATCTAGCGTCAAGGCAGAATCTCGAGAATTGAAGATTTCAAGATTCGTACACATTTTCGGCGAAAAATGACACTTGACGTGTGCAACTTTTTAACAGCGAAGAAAATTTTATTCTCGCAGAAAAACATTGTGCGATCGCACAACGAACTGCAACTGGACGCTCGATTACACGTGAGATTTTCATCGGAGGATCAGCATCGAAAACGAGAAAACTCAAATTTCTATCTAAATCAATGCGACATATACACGTAC